TTTTTTTGCACAGGCGGGCGGAGGGGGAAGCAGCAGCCGAACTCCCCGACCTCCAACAGTATTGTGAAAACGACTCATCTGTGTAGATGAAGCTTTAATGTCCTTTGAACGGAAATGAAACAGCAAGTTTCTGGTGTTCAGTCCTGTTTGACTTTGTTAATAATGACCGAATGGACCTTCAACAGTATTTCTGAACCGTATTAGCTGACTTGAAAGAAACTTAACGTCAGTATTTTTCCCCAGTCGGGCGTCTTGAACAGCCCTCGTCTGGCTTGTGCACAGTGTGCACAGTGTATGTGTGTACATAATATATATGTGTGTATGTTCGTGTGTATGCGGTCACCCTCCCCCGCCCCAACTCTTCCCTCATATTGTGAGCTGTGTGACGAATGCCGCGTAGGTGCATTCTGATTGGTTCCTGTACTTGGTTTTAACAAGTCATTGGCAAATACTGAAAAGGCCTTACATGCCCTGTCTTCAGGGTGAAGAGGTGCAATTAGTGCTGCTTTCTGATGCAAATTTATCTTTTCGCATAAAAAAAAAAACAAAAAAGGAATAAAATGCGCGAGGACCGAAAATGAATTTGGCCTCCTACTGAAAGAGAAAGCAGATAAATGTCTCAGACTGATGCCAGTTGACAGATGTCAGTGTTATGTGAATCTGAAGGATGAATGAACCACTCTGTAAGTGGTTTTTCTCCCTCTTTACTAAATGAGTTCACGTTTTTGTTCTGTTTTTTTTTATTTTTATGTTTTTGTATTTTTTTTTTCATTCAGAATTGTATTCACCAATGTGAGGGTAACAAGAGATCTTCAACAGGAGTGTTAATGAATTCAAATTTGTTATAAAAGACCATCTGTGCCAGATTTTACTTTGACTAATTCAGAAGGACACTTTATTTTATTATCCATCTGTGTCATATATAAAAAAAAAAAAAAACTCTTCCCATCTGCAGAGCCAGGCCAGTTTTCCCTTCAGACTAAATCAGATCAGCATCAGCAGGCGCCTACAGGGTCGCAGTCTTGATGTGACGCTGACCAGTCTGACCGGTTATACTCCAGCAGCGCACAGTTGGGACTTGTGTCGCCGTGCCAGGTTTTTTCATGCAACACTTCACTTGGAGATGTTTTCCCAAAACCCATCCCCATTTCCTGTTCTCCACTGCCAAAGATTCTTATTCTACATGAATAAATAAATTATTATCAAACTTGTCTGTTTGACTTTTGACTGATTTCGATATATATATATATATATATATATATATATATATATATATCACCTCTCTGAGCACATCGCAGCATTTCCATCGTCTTGTGATGCCCGGCGCTCTCGCTCCTGTTTGGAATAATAATAAAGCGCCGTTCTGCAGGATGAGCCACGGATATTTATTGGAGTGGAGGACATTTCTGCTGACTTGACTGCAGCAGTCAGGGCCTCTTTCCTGAATCTGTGTTTGCTCAGATCAACTTTGTAAAGCCTGTTGTATAAATCTAACAGTGCAGCAAATGTTACAGTATTGACAGAAAACTGTAGACCAGTTAATTACTGGCTCAGTTTGGTGATTGTGGTCAGTCTTTGAATGGTGGTTTCCTGTTTTTTCCTACTTTTTTTCTGGTTTTGGTTTCCCCTCCTAAGCGTTAGGTTTAATTTAGCTGAGCAGACTATCATTTTCTTGACTTCTGAATCTCTCCAATCAACTATTAAGTCAAAGTATGTTGTTCTGAACAAAGTCTGAACTGACCCGTCCACAGGTACAAAACTTTCTCCCTTCATCCTGTTTGGCACCAGTTTGTTTCAAACCTGTTTAGTTTTGGAACAAAATGATTCTCTGTTTGGAATCCGTTCTTCTAATTTAGCCAAAATCAATTTAAATTATTGATTCGGTTACAGAGAGCAGCATGCATTGTCGGCTGTTGAGTTTTTATTTCTCCTATTAGCAATTTGTTTTCCATATTTCTACCAAAAACAGTGACTGATCTGATTTGTGATGTTGCTGCTATTCACTTGAACCCAACTGTTTGCATATAGTTAATCTGGACATAGATCATAACATCTGGATTTAAAAAAAAAAAAAAAAAACCCTTCTTGGAGTCCATTGTGGCACATTAGGTGGTGCTGGTGGAGAGGAAGAGGGACGCCTGAGATGAGGCCGGGGGCTAGCATCAGTCAAGCAGCCGTCGGCATCGCTGACACACCGTAAATATGATTTGTCGGTCAGGGCGGATATTTATTACTGGCATTTGGCAGAAGCTGCTCTGTCCTTGAATGTTCGCCGAGTGAATCCGAGCAGAAACGTCAACCGGCAGCAGAAAACAGCCAACAGGAATAAACTCAAGATCAGGGGAATACGGCATAAATCTGTGAACAGGCACCACTGCAGGAAGGGTATTGGAAAAACCTCGCTTGCATACTAAAACGGAGACGTTTCTCCCGTCTCTGCATCATTTACTGGTTAGATTTGAATACGGCAAGGCTTCATCGAACCCTCTGCACTTTAAATGCCAATTCGCCGCACATCAGTTTCTCCCTGAATGCAAAACCAGCATTTAGACAGATAACTGCTGCAATCTGTGAATGGCAGCGAGCTGATTATCTCTGTCACAGGTCAACGGAACATGGATGATTATCTGTCTTTTCTTGTGCCTTCTGTCAGCCACGTTACAATATGCAGAACCTTCCACCGGCAGCTGTCGGACTGCTTCCTCCGTCGTTGTGGCTTGGCAACGTTCAGCAAGAAGGCGCGTCCGTGTCAAAGGGTTGCAGATTTGTCTTCGTCTGCAGCGGGTCAGCCTGCGCTCGCTGTGTCTTGTGCGCGGGGGACATGGCCACTGCAGCTGCAGCTTAGTCTGAGCAGAAGAAGGAGAGTGGCTGGAGCTGACCCTCCATCTGTCTCCGTTTCCCACAGCTCCCACCGCGGTAGCAGACAGAGGGGAGGCCGGGACGCATCGCAGTCCTTGTTGCTGGTTTAAGTAACAAAACCTCATTTGAGCCTCTTCTCCTTTGTTCAGCACAGCAGCTAAAACGCCAACAAGTGACCAAACGGCGCATCCAAAAAGTGTAAATAAAGACCCATTTACTTATCAGCCAATTATTCATTCAAGCCATTATGGGATATTCCTCATTAAACAATTGGAGGTATTTATTCCAAGAATGCCAGAAAAGCCTAAAGACTAAACCAGATAAGAAAACATTCTTTTAAACAAAAACAGAAGAAAAAAAGAGAGAAATGTATCTTCTGTCACGCTCCAGTGCACAGTCTTGATGAAAAAAGGAGAACAAAACAGCTATTAACTTCTGGGTATGTTTTATTGACTCATTCTTTTCAACTCTTGGAGAAAAACAAAATCTTTTAAAACCTAAAAAAAAAATCGTCAGTATAATAAAGAATTGGAGCATTTACATGAGATCTGCAGTTTGTAAGAAAAGAAGCCGTTTACATAAAGCTCCTGTGTCATGGTGTTTGATCAGCTCACATGGTTTGGTAAAGATTCAAACTCAAACATGGATGCAAACTTAGAACACATTAGATCACACAAATAAGAGACAGAAAAAGAAAAAAAAAATTCAACTTTGAACCTTCCCCCCTGAAGCATATGAAGACAGAAAACATCAGCAACAGAAACGCTGGATGACATTTTGGTTCAGAAACTGATGAAGAACCCTGGAAATTGCTGCATTGCATCTCAGAGCTAAAAAAAAAAAAAAACCCATAAGGGTAAACAGTGGTGTATTCTTAGCTTTAAACAGAGAAAGTTTCATTGTGATTTAAAACTTTGGTAATTTGCAGCCTGGGGCCAAAGTAAAGAAAAATAAAGCAAAGTGGGGGGAAATTATTACCTTTTCTTCCCAAACTAAGGTCAAAATATCAGTCACATAAAAAAAACTGTTTTGTAATATAAAAAATGGAAAGGATCTGCAAAGAAAAAGAATACAGACTGTAAGAAAACCAAGACTTGTAAAGATGTAGAGCTTCTATAATTGCACACAAATATTAGAGTTTACAGATCATTAAAAAGACTGAAGAAAGAGGGAAACCCCTGAAAACATCTTTTAGCTTGATATTGTACAAAAAGGTAGTGCTTCACAATAATAAAAAAAATTACTGTACTTAGATCCTGCATCCCTCTGTATTTACAGTGGGGATGATTGTTTTTTTTAATCAACGTTTCTTTATAAAGAATGTTTTATTCACTGTATGATGGTAGAAATGCATCTCAGCAGTATCAATATTAAAAAGATGTTTACAGGCCCGTTTAGTGTTAGCGCTGACCCTCGTCGCAGAACAACGTGCAAACGTGAGCTGGTGTGAGAGAAAAGACGAACAAAAAGGAACAACTTTAATGTTTCACTTAAAGAGATTCTGAATGTCTTTCTTCTAACCAATCCCACGCCCCTACTGGGATCTACATGAGTTGCTAAGAAGAAAAGGTGGAGGTCAAAGTTTCACCAATCTTTGCTGCGAAGAGTACCTTCGTTTTCGGAGCAAAGTTTGGTTTATTACTTGGTTTACAATAAAAAAAAAATAAAAATAAAAAAATAAAATAAAAAAAAAGACATGAAATCACCTGTAGAAATATTCAGCTTATGAGAAAGAATGAGTCTGGAACGCTCCCATCCAAATGTCAAAAACAAGTTTACCTGAGGAAAACATCGAGTGCAGTGAAGACTAAATCAAAGACTCAAGAGTACAAACTTAAATCCGTACAGATGTCCCTTTAAAACCCGAAAAAATTCAGACCACAGTTCACGCATAAGACAGGAAACGTCCTCCAACGCAGTGCAGTCCAATGCCACGACAAACGACTATAGAGTAAACCAAAAGTAATCCGAGTCTATATTTATTAAGGTTTGCACTTGATTCTAGAGGTGTGTTAGAGATTAAACAAAAATCCCATGATTACTTGATCTAAAATCCGATATGGAGTCTCATTTAAAATTTCTGTTAAAAACGGAAACAAAAACAAAAAATCCTCATTTTTAGCATGAAGACTAAGATCAAAAGTGTTTCCCATGCTTCAATATTATTCTGCCAACTTTAGTTAACAGATTAAAGTTTTACACACAGAGACATAAACACACACGTGTGCGCACACACACACACACACACACACACACACGCACACACACACGCGCACACACACACGCGCACACACACACGCGCACACACACACGCGCACACAAAAGGTATAAGTAGACTAGAAAATCTCCATGATTTCTTAGCGGGTATCTTTGAACATCATCAAATGCCATCGTTCTGTGGACTGTGTCCATGTTATTGCACAGAATAGAGATATACATTATCTGCCCTGTTAAAACATGATCAGTACTATTTAGGTTTCTGCTAAGTGAAACTGTCTAAACGTCGTCTTCCACACTTAAACATATCTGATTATAAAGATCTCTTTGTGCCTCGTTGGTCCGTGGTCTATGTCGAGGCCTACAGTAGAAGTGCGGGACACTGTGGTCCAGAGGACCATGATGGACAGTCAAGAAGACATTATTTCCATCTTCCACACGGGGAGGCAGCGCTTTAAGTGCCAGAGGAAGAAGAAAATGACATGATGATGTTCTCGTGAAGGTCAGGGGTGCTGAGCTGCCAATTCTTGTCCAATGAAACGCCGGAGGCGATCCAGATACTGAACGTACAGCTCAATGTCATTGTGTCCGGCGCCCTCCACCCAGAGGGGCTCCACGGCCTTCGGGCAGCGCTCGTACAGGGCCAGGCCGTGAGAAAAGTCGATCACCTCGTCCTCCGTCCCGTGGATGATGAGAACCGGAGAGGTGATTTTAGACACTTTTTCGATGCTGAAAAGGGAAGACGGAGAGTTTAGTTACGCATCGCTGAAGTTAATTTTCACTGGATGTTCTTGTGGTAAGCGCTAGCAGGTCACAGTGCAGAAAACACTCTTCAGTGCGGAGGTTAAACATGTTGAGACATTGGAATGTCACTCGGGGTTAAAGCGACAGCAAGACTTTCAGCTGAAAACAGGAAAGCTGAGCAGAAAAGATCTTGTTTTATCCTTGTTAGCTTCCTGCCTCATCAAGGAACTTGGGAGCTTTTAGAAATGTCAGATTTGAGATAAGGATCAATATATTAACAGGACATGCAAATGAAGACTGTTTCTGTACTGTTAGCTATGCTAAATATGCTAATAAAAGCATACTAAAAAGAAAGCTGGTAAAAGATGCTTAAAATATGAACTAATTTTGTTTTTATTTTCAAGTAATGTCAAGTAATATTGTTTAAAAAAAAATCCCTCGTTTTAAAGTGACAGTTCACTCACAAACAATATGTCACAAATAGTTACTATAAGAAATATAGTAATTGGCAATATGGTTTTCAAAGATTTATGGGACAACTGAAAATCCCACTTTCATAACCAGCAATGTGTTGACGTACAAAACCCATGATGCAGCAGCACAAATATGTATCGGATCAAGCAGAAAAAAAATGCAAATGAAAGTTGGGATGACTGGTTTTACTGGTTCAGTCTTTCATGCCAATAATGTGTGGCCTGACAGTATTTGGGAAGTCGCCTCAGCAAGCTTCTTTCCTGCCGACTTCTGATAACTCGGGAGTTTTCCGAGAAAAAAACAAAACAAAAAAACTTTTAGTGAAGCAACAGTTAGTTGTATGAAATTCAATCAAACATGGAAAACTGCAGGGGTAAAAGCGTGCGGCTCATATACGTCGAGGACTAAGATGGAGGTCTGCCGCATGCATTTCCTCCCTCTCACAACCCGCTTTCCTGTCTGACAACTATCAAAGGTCACTAGAGCCGACAAAAACCTAAAGTAATTAAAAAAAAGAAAACTCTGTCTGTACGAGACTATTTTGCTGCTTTGAATGTATGCAAATGCTCAATGCTGATTACGTACACCACACATTAAACTTCATTCAACGTGGGCCTATCCCTCACTGCTCTGCAGAGTCCCTATAAGGAATTCTCAGTAGCTCTGAAAATAAATGTTTAGTTTTATGGTTCAGGGGAAGATTATAAAAGCCTCTCAGAAGTCTAAAGTGTTTCTTCAAACTGGAAGCAATGGAATCAGGAAATGCAGCGTCACAGGCAGAGCAGCTGGTAAATCCAGGTCTGCTGGGCCAAAAAAAAACAACATATGCAGAGTATCATGAGAATGGCTGCCGATCATCTGTGAAGACCTGCAAGAACATCTTGCTGCAGAAGGTGTTTCAGTACCTCATTCTACAATATAGCACCTAAACATCTGCTAGGCAAGGTGATGAAGCCCTTTCTGCCCTCACTCTCCAAACGCAGTCAGTCACCTGTTGTACGCAGGAGCCAGATTCTCCTCGGAACAAATTGCTTCTCACCCACCTATAGAATCTAACACTGAGGTGTGAATTATCACTGGGATTCTCCCGCTCCATATTGAGCCCCTAAAGTAACAAAGATAACAGGAAAACAGCTGAAAGCTGTTATTTGACAGCGCTTCTCTTCCACTGAATTATCTTAGCTCTCCTTTCCCTTCCACCGCCTCATATTGACTTATTGTTTATTTTCTGTATAGTGACAATAAATGTCACTTTAACTATAGAGCAGGTCTCCACATTCCGGTTCCAGATGCAAACACTCATTATTCATTCTTTTAATTCAAAAATATTTCTGGGGGGAGGGAGGGGGAGCGACACTGGCCACGCTTTGGACACCCTCAATAAAGCGCCAACAGAGATAGATATGCACAATATATCTACTAATAAGGTCGGTATTGGTCCTATATCATCAACCCATGTCTACTTCCATCTTGTTGCCTTTAGCATTTCAGTAGGGGAAAGGAGGCTGTTCATGTGTATTTGTCTGGTCACGTGACCACGCGATGCAACTGGTGTTTATTTTAATCCCATCAAAAAGGCAGGTGTAGAATACACATTTATAAATATTAGCCACAGTAGCAGTATTAATATTGCGCATCAACACTGGCCCAGATTTTTATTTCGGTGCATCTCTAGAAGGAGACGTGTAGCACTGAGCAGAGGGTGAGGAAGACTTACTTGGGGAAAACGTCAAAGCAGTAGGTTTTCTTTGTGTCAGGAAAGGCAACTCTCATCCCAGACGTTAAAGGCGAGTGAAGAATGACGGCGGCACACTCGTACCGCGAAGCCAAGTCCACAGTGGGAACCGTGCCGATGCTCTGTCCGTACAGGATAATGTTCTCTGGGATTATGCAGTATCTACATAAAATGAGTAGAGAAAGACTCGTTAGTAAAAGGACAAAAAAATAAATTAAATACAGCCACTTAATAATAATAATCACTTCGGGTTTTTTTTAGTCTATTTCAGTAAAAAATTTGTCAAAACACTGAATATACAATATATATATATATATATATATAATATATATAATGTATATAAAACTTTGGTGCACCTGCACCAAAGTTTTCCAGGTAGATCTGGTATCAGTACAGAAAGTTTGTGTGGTTGAACATTTATGTCCTGCATTTAATTGACCTTCACAAAGCTGAATGATACTGACGTTACCAAAGGTTCAGTTGCAACTTTTAAAGACAAACCCGTAACTTTGCTCTGCAGCATGTAATCTCTCCAGATAAACGGTGTATCAAAACACAAATGTTTCCACCAATCTTTCTTCCCCCCCCCCCAAGCTGCCATTTTAAGCCCCATCTTCTCACGTTGATGTGAAAAAATTGTACCTACAGTCATATGGAAAACTGAGGACAATATTAAAAGGTTCAGGTCTTTCACATTAGATGTTCAAAGAACAATATCTAATCTTTTTTTAAATCAGTGTCACGGGGGCAAAAAGGATTCAATTACATTTTAACAGAAAACAGAAAATGTACTTTATAAATGCAAAATAAAAATGTAGATTCTCACTGGGGAAAGAGTTAGGACACCACATCCCCTAGTAAGGACATAACTTAAGTGAGACTTTTCTTGTAACCTATGACCTCTGGCCTCAGTCTGAGGAAAACTTCCACCATCCCTCAGTTTCAGCTGCGATGTGTTTGGGGGTTTCTGGGAGGTAAATCCCATTTCAACTCACCTCCAGCGTCTCAAGGAGATGAAGAGCTTGGCGTTGGCCAGTCCCAGAAACCTCTTATATTCAGTTAAATAAATATATTTATTATAGAACCCTCTTTTCTTAACTATATCGTCATTTTTATAGTATTTTTTATGCAAGCTTGTGCACTGTAATTTAGTTCGGCATGGAGGTGGCGCCGAGTGACAGTAAAGTGAATCTTGAATTTAGTTGAATTTTTTGCACAAATTTACATCATGGATTTTAAACAATCCAGTGGATTTAGTTTTATATCCACTGTTTTTATTATTAATGGGCAGTAATTAGTTTATGAAACTGTAGATTGTTGAGTTTTTATTTTGAAAAGATACAACAAACAATAAAACGGCTAATTTTACTCAATTAACAATTAAAAAACTGGAAAATCGATTAATATTAAATTTTCATTCCACTAAAATTAAAGATGACCTAATTTGTGGTCTGTAGATGGGGGCCAGAAAAACTTTTTCAAATAATATCAGGGCTTAGAAAACAGAAAGAAATAAGTGAAAAATGCTCAAATGGATTTCTTTCTTTAAATGTTTCCTACTTTCTTTTTTTTTTTCCAAAAAATAATTTGAATTTATACAAATTTCTAGCGCTTTAATGGGCCCTAAGGAAAATAAAATGCAGTCCTGTGAGTCCGGGGCGATTCTAGAACAACATACCGCGTACGCAGGGCATGCCAGGCAGCGTCTATGTCCGCGTACAGGTTCTTCTCGGTGGGCTTGCCGGTGCTGACTCCATAACCTGAGTAGTCGTAGGAGAAGATGTTGCAGCCGATACGGCTGCTGAGGCCGATGTAGAAGCTGCTCATCTGGCCGAGGTCGACTGCGTTGCCGTGGGAGAAAAGGACGGTAAATCTGAGGAGAGGCAGATTCAAAGGAAATGTTGGTAGATGCACTTAAGATTCCTGACATGTCGCTATTATATGGTGAGAAATGCCAGTGTAGATTCTGACCGATAAGATTTCAGCTAATAGCCGAGAACTGTTTCGCTAATAAGAATTTTGTTGTAAATAAATATAGTAAAAACCGCTCTAATGCGAACGGGTTCTCTAGTTTTTGCCACGATGAAATAAAAACATGTCGCTCTCCTTACGGATATGCGTCAAATATATATTTTTCTGTATTTCTGCTCGCACAAACCCAGATTTATTTAAGATTTAAGATTTATTCTTTAACTGATTTTAGAAGTTAATCAGCAACTGCATACATTACCAGGGTTGGACCCTCACTGAATCTAAATTATGTTCCTATCTCATAACAAACTGTTTAATGTTTAAACCAGCGCCATAAAGCCGTGTACGATTCTTGAACACGGCGTCAACGACGCAGACCTGTGACGACTTTGTCTCCGACTTACTGGAAACTAGTATCACTGAGGGCAACGCTGCTTATTTATGATTGCAACCATAAAAAAAATATATAAACAAACAAGAGAAATCAAAACTTTACGTTTCTTTACAGAGTCAGAAGGAAGGAAGAAAGTTTAGACGTTTAGGGAAAATGAGTGTTAGTTGACAGAGATCAATTAGAAAAACCTAAACTGAGGAAATTTCTGAGTCAGTTAACAGGAACAAGGGGAGGACGATAAGCCGAATCAAATATTTTTTCAGATTTCAGTTTCTGTTTTTGATAAATAAATAAAAAGTCATATCTTATACTTAACCTTTACAAAAACCAAGATCAGAAATCATTCTCTCTGACTGGTGCATCTCTACATTAAGATCAACAGCATGAACTTCGGGGCTCAAGAACCGGCCACCAGCAACATTTATGCTTCATTTCCGCTGAGCGGCACGGCTCCGCACGGTTCGGTTAATTATTTTAAGGTCCAGGATGTTCGGGAGAAGTTTCTACCTCCGGTTGGACTGACGGGGTTCAACCTAAGCACCTGTGTTGTCAGACTAAGACATATGTGACACAATAGCATGTCTCAGACTTGTCGCTTGTTTCTGTCCCACCATGAATGGACAGTGCTGTGCGGCGCCAGTAGATCCACCCTAAGCATGCCGTATTATTGTGCTATGGACAGTAATACGGCAATCAGGTTCTACAGATACCTGCCACCTACACGTCACACTCCATGATTTAGATGCATTTGAGGACAGGAGACGAACTTTAAAATTAAAGAGAGAAGAAATCTCAAATCTGGAACATCACAATCTCAAAAAAAAAAAAAAAAAAAAGTCGAGACCATTCCGAGCTTCTCACCTGGCATTCCCTGCGACGCGAATGTACATGCAGCCGACTCGGTTTCCTCTGCTGGAGCGAGTGAAGAACACTTCCACCTCGTCGAGATCTCGCTGATTGTACTGAAACTCTGCTCGGTCCGTCAGGTGAAGCTTCCACTTCCCCTCCACGCCGCCGGCTCCTCCGGAGACCGAAGCGCCGCTCCTCGACCGCATGCTCGACGTCCCGGACGCGCCCAGTGCGGGGGGGTCCGCTTCAGGGTCTGGAAGAAAGGCGTAGGTGGGCTCCGGAGGCAGGAAGGCCAGCTTGGATGCGATGCGGCTCGGACATGGTGGGCAGCAGAACAGGCAGCAGAGCTCTTTGAAAGAGAGGCCGTTCATCCTTCACTGCGGTGCAAGAAGACAAGAGGGTCACTGTACCAGAGAATATACATCAGCTCCATGCTAACACAACAAGAGCTTTATGACAATGTCATGCGCGAGCCACTTTACTTTGCCTGGAGGTGACAGTAATGAACATTTTTGCATCTCTGGCAAGTTTCTCAACATATGATCAAGTCCACAATCCTATATTAGAAGATCTGGGTGCAAAATGCGAATTGTAGCTTTGAACTTCTATTAAGATGAATATGTGACCAATTTAAGCATTTGCCAGCTATGCAGATGAGTCGATGTCAGCAACTAAAAACAAAAAAGATAAAAGGAGCTCTAGATATTAAGGGTTTTGCTTTATAATGACTAAAAATATGTATTTTTTTTTTTTCAGATTAATTTGGACGATTATTTTGTTTTGTACAAACATTACTATAACATAGGATTCACAGCACTGTGAAATGTTTTTTTTTTTTTTGAGTCGTTGACTAGAACTGGTCAATATTCAGTTTGACCTACCCTGACCGATGACCAGTCTGTGAGAATTTCCATCTATCTATATAATCTAATCTTTTTCTGGTCAGTGAACGCACCACACAGAAGCTCTACTCTTTATTGCAACACTCTTTGTTGGGGACAGAGTTACTGAGGAAAGACTGCTCAAAGTTAACAATTTGCAATATCGAAAAGGAAGCACAAAAAGGCGTAAGAAGCTTTTGAAAATAAAATTTAGCTTGTGACCACATGTTTCTTTTTTGTTGTTTTTTTTTAGGACAACACGTAGGATAAGTGGAGTACAGCATTATTATCTTTGTTTTCAAGCATTTGTTAAACATGGTGACAAAAACTGCTCTCGACTGAATTCTTAATTAAAAACAACTCCTCTGGATAAAAATCTACAACGAAACATTGTAAAACTTGTGTTTATTTCCCTCTTTTACATTACATGTCTTAATGTAGCAAAACTGGCTAAAATTGGTGTTGGCATGTCAAAAAGTTTGGAAGCAAAATCTTGAAACATCTCTTGCTTTAACTTATTCCTTATTTCATTACGGCCTACTTTTAAAAATCTGGTCCTTTTCAAAGTGGTTTAACTCTAGAGCAATAATTCCTGTCTTTTTTAAAATCTTATTTAATTTGTCTCTTTTGTCACAAATTTCCAACCTAGCCAGACACCTGTAAGCATGACTGAGCTCTTTTGTGGTCCTCTGCATATCCAGTTTTGAAATCGTAAGCACCTACTGCACAGTCTGCTGTCATTGTCAGTGAAATAATAATTGATATGAAAAACTGCTCTAATTCACATTATGCTGAGCAGGAAAGCTGACGTACCTGTTGAGTTGGAAGAGCTCAGCGTATGAAATATAAACTTTCCTTAGACAAACGAGAATAAATAAATAAATAAAAGATCTTCCTCTTCGGTTTCCAACACAGGGTGTAGTTTAGGTCCTCTACCAGCAGAAAAAGAAAAAAAAAAGTCGTGGAGCCAAGAAGCTGACAGGGAAGTACTATTTACAAACTATAGGCAGGTTTTTCCTGGAAGAGACTGAAGTCCGGGGTCCAGCCATTTTGTAAAGTTCTATAATTGACTTTAAACTCTATTTACCTTTTCAAATAGCAAACCCGTGGGGCTTCATGGGCCAAAATCCTCGTTTTTTGTTCGCTTGATTACAAACCCATTGGCTGTGTTTTTAACCTAGTACAACTCCCCCCGCCACCCCAATGTAAACGCTTCTAGAAAACAACCAAACACGCAGACAGCTGCACCCCACTGAAGAAGGAAAAGAGGGAGTGCTATATCAGGTTAAACGCCAGCGAGTCCGATTATCATCTCACAGAGAAGCCGTTTGTCTGAGCGCCCGCTAACCGAGGCTTAAGCTAGCAACTCGGAGATATAAACACTCCGTAAAAAAAACACATACACAAAAAAAAAAAAAAAAACCCAAACAGCTCACATGAAGACTACCGTAACAAACCGTCTGAAATGACTTAAACTCCCTACATGGATCCCATGTGAGCTTTGCTGGTATCGCAGCTAACTGCACCGACAGCGTCTTGTCCTTTAAATTAATCCTAGTAAGAGCGGTGTTTTCCTTCGTCTTTGCTATTTCACCGCATCCGGAAGCGTAGTTGACCGGATATGACGCGAAACTTTTTGAGTGTGTGTGTGTGTGTGTGTGTGTGTGTGACGGAAGCTCCCGGAGTTAATTTGACAAACCCCACGTCAGTTTATTTGCATATTTGTTATAAATAGAGATAAGTCGCACAAGAACCAAGTGTTAACGAAACAAAGGTTCAAGCTAGTATGTAGTGTTACAAGCTGAACTGGGTAGTAACTTACACTTATGCTTTTAGGAATAGTTTTATTACACCGTATTATTTACTTTTACTTGAGTAATAAAAGTAAAAGTAAAGTAAAAGTAAATGTGCATTTTATTTGAGTGCAGTAGTGAGTATTAACACTATTCTTGAATAAAATTTCTGTCTCAAGTAACTTCAATTAATTAAAAATAATTAACTGATTAATTTTTTTTTTTATTATTAATTGCGCCAAGTGATTTCCACCAAACATTTGGTGGAAAATGTTTTGTACATTTTCTGCCAAAAATGCAACGAACACAGACACACAGTTTATGTTTGTGAGACTTTTTGTTTGTAAACAGGCTTGGTTGAATGTTATATTCTGATAACCTGTATTGCCTAAATATAGATTGAATTGCAACTTATGTATCATTTTCTACAATATACATTACTGTGTAATGTTTAGAGAAACATGTGAGCATTGGTTTTACATGTTTGATGTTGAAAATATTTGGTTTAGAGGTATTATTGTTGCTATGTACTGTATCAATAGACTTAATATTCTTTGTAATTGTTGATCGAACCTTTCATTTAACCATCAGAAAGGATCTAGATAAACATTTTTTCATCTGTTATGTTATTAAGATTAGAGCATGTTCAAATCCTTATTCATGCCTTTGTGTGCTTCAAGATTAGATTACTGAAATGCTTTTATCAGTTTTACAAGAGTTTGCATGGCCGTTAGATGGTTCCGATTGCTACAGCTTGCGTTTTACTTTTGACAGCTAATAAATATTCTCATATTACTCAAGTGGTGATTTTTATGGACTGGTTTTGCTGTAAAAGCTAGATCGGATTTTAGGGTATTGCTGTTCACATGCGTGTTCTACAATCCCCATTTAGCATCCCGAACATTGACAGAAAAACTAAACTGTTACAGGAAAAAATGTTTTCTATTCCAAGCATCATTGCTAACCTCCTGAATCGCTTGATGTTAAAACCTAGTTAGTCCAAATGCTTTCAAAGTTTTTGAACTATGCAGAAGTTGCTTTTAGGAGCAACTTATCTAATTAATTACAAAAAAAATTACTTTTCGTCTAAAAGTACATGACAAAAGTGAAATTCGTTTTCAGTTTTCAATTTTAGTCAAAAATTAAAACTCCAAGCAATTTCTACAAAAAGAATCAAGCACATTGCAACGAAATGCTTAAATTCAGCTTTATTTGATGAATAACTGTTTTCCTCATATTAGAGATGTGCCCGAACAAAATATAATTTAGTACAGATTTTAAGATGCTAGATGCAAATTTAACTCATTTGAATCACATTTAGTTATTAAAACAGAAGCCATCTTGTCTCAGGTCAGAAACAACTATGGGACGCAGTTTTATACTTAGAGAAGGTTGGAAAACACGTCGCTTCTTGTAACTACTTTGCATGTGCTAAAGCACTAGAACTATAATTAGAACAGCAGCGACAAACAGTTTGGAAGCAGAAGAAGACTCAGACATGGTTATTATCACACAGTCGTCCTTTATACCAGCAGAATGTTGCGTACGCTGAGTTAAACATCTAATTTCTTTAGGCCTGCGGGGCTTCTGTGAGGACTCATTCCAGGTGCTTGAATCTTGAGTAAAAATGAATGACAACCATAGCTGAAAATAGGGAACTAAATTGATGTCACACAGTGTGCACAGTCTACCAATAACATTTAGATTTCTGCAGCACATATTCAAGTACCTCTGTTTATATTCTGTTTTTTTGGAGGAGTGCAGGGGGGGTTTCTGGATGTTTTAGTAAGAGACAGCACCTGCAAGAGTGCTCCACTTATTTATACAGGCCACTTTACACAGACCCATTTTTATATGATTTAGGATCCCACAACTAACAGCTGTTTTTGGTGCGAGTCTTTGCAGTACCATCAGAGAATGCACAGTTTCAGCAGAGCGCAATTGCTCATGTAATTATACTTTTACGATATATTACAAAAGCAACCATTGGTCACAAACAGACAAGACAGCCTCATTTCCTTTGGGCAGGCTCTTGGCGTCGCTGAACACTAAAACACATTATGTGCTGCTGAATGGTTGCTTTTGTGCCAACGGCATTTTGTTGAATCTCAAAACAATAAGTACAAAAGCAGACAAGAGAGCCGGTTTACATCGGCAACGCAACATTTAGCGCATGAGAGCCTCACAGAAGCATTCACGTCCATTAGTCTTTTTCACATTATGTTACAGCAAACAAGTTTCATTGCCTTGAGTAACTTTATACAAAAGACGAGCAGTTTGTGCACGAGGAAAAGGATAGTTTACAAAATTTGGTTAAAAATAGAAATCAGAGGAAATGTGGGGTGCGTTCGAATCTGCCTCTCCCCAAAGCACTATTTTGTACAGCTGCACGTCTCGGGATGCGTCAGCCATGTTCATTTTTATCTTTGGAAGTCAGCTAAGACCGAGTAGAGAAGGTGTTTGAACAGCAATTTCCAAGGCATGCCACATATTCTCAGTTAAACTTAGTTGTGGAAACTGAATAGGCCAATCAAATGTATACAAGAATGCTTTGACTTAAACCCTTTTGCAGACACCAGTGAACTTTCTTCAAAGACTGCAATGCATTTAATTTCATCCAGTTTCCCTGTTCCTCCCGAAGAAAAGCATCCCTACAGCTTCATGTTTCTAGTTAGATCAAATCTAATTAGATCATCTTCCACATGGATGCTCTTCACCCTATCTGACTTGAGGCAAATCACAAAAGTGACCTCTTTTAAAATGAATGCCTTTCTCCTTGTGAAATCTGCCAATTAGTAGCCAGGAATTTCCTTAGGTGTGCTGGAGTAGAGAGGAGGCAGATCATTTTTATTTTAGCAAAACATAATTATGTGTTACTTTGTGTTGTTCTACCACTTTTGTAGTTGTAATGCAAGAAAAATATGTATAAAAAGTAATACACTTGTGCATAAAAATGAAAACAAAAGACAAGTATACTTTAAAATAAACTTTGTGATTTTATTGTTTTATACTTAATCTTACACATCATACAATCCTAACTCTTAAAAGAAAAAAAAAAAAAAAAAAAAAGTTATCCGGTGGTGTCTCTGGGGGACTGGAGTGCGAAGGGACAGGAACTATACCTCTGAACAAAACTTTAATCTGAAATCTCCACAATTCATCTTTAAAGACAATGATCAAAAAATAACCTTAATCTGCATTTACACCTGTGGTGAAGCAGAACTTAAACCAGTCATAAGATATAGATTTATCAATCAAACCTCCTGTATGATGAAGACATTTATTATGAAAAGTGATGTTAACATTGAATTGAAGACAGCAGAACATAATCAACACACAGGAAAAAAAAAAAAGAAAAAGAAAAAAAGCTAATGTACTGATGGAATCTAGATTATGTAGGAATGCTAGTTGCTGGTGCCAAATCACAGTCTAAAACGATGTTAGTGGTTCAACTGACACTTGCGTAAAAATGACAACTGGCTATCCATTCTCTCCCTGAAACAGTCAAAATAAAATCCAAATAGTCTGTTAAATTGACATCATAACGTGTGAAATATTGTGGTTTACATTCAAACTGCTCGTAATTATTAGAAAAAGCCTGTTTACAGGGTCGGGTTACTGATATGAGCAGTCATTAATAAGCACAAACCATGGGACCCCCCCTCCCCCATGATTTACGCAGCCGAACAATCTTTTTACAAGTCATCTGTAAAGCAAAACTAAATGTTCTGCATCAAACAATATTTGAAAGTCTGGGAATTATGTTTAAATATATATGGATGCACCAGCTATAAGTCTTCGTAAAGCGAGACTGTTATTTGTCTCGTCATCACCCAAGATTCACCCCATCGGGATTTCAATTTTCCACTAGATGCAAAACGGCAAGAGAAATTAATCACAGTCAGGGTTTATAGACGCACAGCCTATCGCAGGTAAATGGGCTCGGTATTGGCATGCCAAGTCCTCACCCCAGCAGCCATTCAGACATGCCCATCACCAACACAGAGACTTCAACTGGAATTCAAATCGAGGAGTTAAAGCGGAAACTCATCTCAGAAGAAAAGCTTCACATCGATCACAATCTGCATTGGGTTCTTTTCGGGAAAAAAAAACAAAACAAAATAATCATTTAAAAAAAAAGAAAGGAAAAAAAAACAAACAAAAAAAACACCTTGCAGTTTCCTTTCAGCTTTTCTATAAATACTTAATGAGCAAGATCAAGCGACGTTTACGGGGAAAGCTTAAATAATGAAAACCTGAAACCTCAACTGCTACCTGAACGACACGGGGGCCTTTTAAAACTTTTAATATCAGTAACAGGATAAAAGCGTGGGTCGGAATACAGAGTAAGGGATGTTAAATGTGTAAGGAGGCGGGTTTTTTTTCTTTTGTTTGTTTTTATTTTAAACATTATGATTGTAAAAAATAGAAGATGCATGGCTTGGTGAAGATACAAGTAGCAGGTGGCTTACAGAAAACACAAAATTTTACATGTTATAATTGTACATTAAATGGGGTAATAAATTGGTAAAATTGTCAGTGCCAGTAAGGGCACTTTTTTTTTTGGATAATTATGAAAAGCACTTTAATACACATAGTACTATTCTTCACCTCAATCCATCACCTTAGTTACCTGGCAATAATCTACATAAAGATTATACTATATGAATTGGAGCCATATGTTATTTACATTTGGAAAAAAAAAAGAAAAAAAACAAAAACTGTTGAGTCCTGATAACTTCAGCCCCAAAGGTTTCAGCCATGCATTGTGCTACTGCTGAGTGTTGCCTTTTTTCAGACCACAGCTCCGACATTTCCAACTATGCAGTCAACTTGCAGCGCTGCGCTTTATGTCCCAACTGCACACATGCATCAGGTCAGATCTTCCTGAAAACAAGCTAGCCAGAAGCGATCTTTGCATAAGGACTCGTCTGAATCAGACTATGTAAGACAAAAAGAAAGAAAAAGAAAAAAAAAAAAAAGAAAACAAAAAAGGAAAGCACAGCACGGCGACAATCTTTGCTGTAGCTGAGCAGAACATGTTTTTGTGTAGCTTAACCGTGACCCAGGTCAGTTTTCATTCAGCATGTGTCAGTGGTCTGCTGGTGGTTAGAGAAACATGGAGCCTAACTGACTCCAAAAACAAAAAAGCACAAAAAAAAAAAAAAAAAAAAAAAAAAAAGGTTTTCAAGGAAAACCTCATAATACACCTCATCACTAAAACAAGGCTTTTTATTTCTGAGCCTGCTGTATAGCTCAGATATGAACTTCAAATGACCAAAATGCTGAACAAAACCAAGTAGGGTTGGCACATATTTTGTGCTCTGCAGTCGATATCCATTGTTGTGCTTTATTTCAATGGAAAAAAAAAAAAAAAAGTGAGAAAAAGGCAATCTTAATGCGCAGATTGCAGCAAAACTGCACTCCAATCCATATGAGAGGTTGTATATTATTTTACTTTCATGGTTATAGAGTAAGGATGGAATTAATTAAATAAAACTGCAAAGTGCAAATCCTAACAATCTGCTGACACATGCCACCAATCCTCCAGCACATACCAAACAATATAAAATAAATAGAATGCAATCACACAATTCAAGCTAACTAGAATATATTAATATAGATCTTCTGAAGTCATACGCTCATTAAAACAAGAAAAAAAAAAAAATCAGGATTCAATCACTCGGTTAAGTCAAGGTTCTCCGTCAGCTCTGACCTTTACCTCCCCAATCAATAGCTGTTCATGTACCCAGTATCCATGCATGTCAACATAAAGAAAGAAATGACTAAAAAAAAATAAAAATAAAAAATGCTGAGCCTTCGGACTTCAACATGTGGTGATCCAAAGGCTGAGAGCTAAAGAGGGGGGCGGGGGGAAGCAATTTCAAAATTAAGGTTACAGAAATTTTAAAGTCTAAGACAAAAAATATTCCAAAGCCCTTAAAAAGGTCTGACACATGATTTCTTTTTGTTTCTCTTTTTGAACCAACACCTTCTGAATAAGATGGTTTCATTATCCAGGCTGTGGCACATTCCCAAACTCCTTATACCCATTTTATTTCAATGACCCACAGGGATTGTACAAATAAAAATGACTAACACGATCCCTCTAAGCTGAGAAACAAAAAAAGGCCTAAAATGTATATCCCCTCCCTCCCCATGGCAAAACAAATGTCCGTCAAGCCCCTACTTTACTCTCTCCCCAACTCTCAAGCAGATGTATGCAAACACACACGCGCGCGCGCACACACACACTTTCATACAAGCCCAAAACACAGACACTCAGATTTAGCTGCAGTCACTAGCAGAGAGAGAGCGAGAGAAAGAGAGGGAGGGAAACACTAGTAAGGGACGTGTCTTGACTTTTTGCTGCGACCATGTCGCCCCACCCCGCCTGCCTTCAACTACCTTGAACAAATGAAGCCACGATGTCGGGTGTTTTTCATCCAAGTTGCCATTGTTCAAATTCACAAAGTCTTAGAGACTTTTATTGCACTTAGTCCTCATAACTTCTGAATTTTTTCAGCCACCACGATGGGGTTCTCCTTGCGTATGCGTGCAGCCGCTGCACTCCGGTAATCATACGGACAGTCGTGTTTGTCAGAGTAGCGATGGATGGCACAGAACAGGTTGCCACAGCGACAGTCAAAACCTGATTTAAAAGAGAGAGAGGAAAACTGTTTAAACCATTAGCATAAAGAAATATAAATACACAAACTGATGCTTTGGGGTTTTCTGGACTTAATAAAACGCTATGCAAGTACAGGCCTGCTTTACGTGGATTGTTGCACTGAACCGTAGTGAAAAGTTCAACTACAGTTAACTACAGTTTTTTTTTTTTTTAAAGTACTTTCACATAGATCTTTCAGACTGTAAATGTTTTTCCATTAATAGGAAATTTAGCTTGATTGGCAGCTCAAGAATCCCTTTTGCAGTGCACAAGTTGTTGCATGTCGAAAACAACTCAAAGTGATAAGTGCTAAGATTTGACGTAAGAGGAAGTACTAAAATGGAAGAAGGCCTTTTAGAAAAACAATTTCCTGCTACCAATCTACTGTTCATTCAGACTGAGGACAGACTTCAGATAAGAGGAAGGAATGCAGAAAATTTGTTCAGATGTTTTCAACATCAACACTGGAAGATGTTGGCAGCGTTTTAGAAATGCTGAGCGCTGCAGTGTGAATTTACAATTCCTAAGGGTTACACGCTGAGAACATCAATTGTCCTAATTGTGTCAATAAAGAATAGTAAAGACAATATTGCATAATAGGATTCTACAGTCAAAGTTTTGCCATTTCAAGCAGAGAAAAAAGACCCTTTCAAAGATCTTGCTAAAATCAGTAATCTGCACAGTAGCAAAACAAAGCACCAAAATATGCACCAGTTAAAACTGGTTTGAACACTACAAATCCCTCTGTCAAATGAACATCTCAACATCAAATGCAACTTTCTGCACATCAACAGCTTTTGTGCTTTTAATATAACAAACAAGTCTCATCAGAAAATATATTGGAATTTATTGATCGTGACTGTAAATGTTAATGTGAGATGAAGATGGCACTAAAATAAATACAATATCCAGGATGCAGAGGAGTTGAACGTTACCTGGGACATTTATAGCAGGGGACTCCGATCTCGAAACTTTGATACGTTGCTAGGCAACGTATCAAACACTTCACATTTTTACAATACTGGTTGCATGCTGTGTGGTCGACTGCGAGGACATTGGAGCCATTTCCTCCTTTAACTGTGATTAAAGTTTTAAACACTTTTCAACTGGCCCTAGTTTCATCTTTTTTTGTGAAATATAAATATATTTAGAGTGTTTCTGGCGTGAAACCATCTTACATATTTTCTAAAGCAAAATATGGAGCGCGTACAATACAAACATCCAATCAGAGCCAGAAGGAGGGTCTTAGTGCTGTGAATCATCACCCTTGTGTATGGGCTGCTCACAAACCCCACGTGTCCTGCTGTGTTGTTCACCACAACAGAGCTGGTAGAAGTTGGATCACAGATTTTATCGCCAATCTTCTACATGGTTAGAGAGATAACGCAAGAGTCTCTAGCAACAAAATATAAATATATGATAACACTGAAGAAAAGCAATTTCCATAAAGAAAATGACAAAATATATGTTGCATTAATACCAATTTCGAGGGGTCTACTAAGTGTGGGGTTTAAAGTAAAGATTTGCAGCAATCCTTGGCCACAAGTTGCAAACTTATTGAGCCCAGCATCAAGGCAGAGCTTAATAATTACCCCGAAAGTGTGGAAACTGCTTTCCCTACTTACCAGTAAGGCCCACTTTCTTCCGGCAAGAAAAGCAGCGGTTCTTTTTCTTGTTCTTATCAGGGGTTTGGTCACCTTCAGAAGATGCTTGCGCATCGTCAGTCACAGGTTCTGATGTTAGAAGGAAAACAGCACATGCTTAGATGAGGGAGAACCCCTCAGTCGTTTTTCAAAAGAGGCAAGCCAAAAAAGAAATCCATGAAATTCAAGAAAGACAGTTGTGTGTCACAGTTACAAGTCAGGAAATGGTCAAGAGGAAAATCGCCACATATTCAAGACTGCTCTTATCTAAGGTTTCAATTAACTGGAGCTATTACAAGCAAGGCAGGATGAGGATCCAAGTTTATCCTGTTAGCATACAGTACGGGTCTGCAACCTGCGGCTCGTTGGATTCTATGCAGTGGCTCTTGTAAAACCAAATAAGATGTTTTGTAATCATAAAGGCAACTAGAAAGGGTGGCTATTTTCAGTTTTTTTTATGTTTTCGGCATTGAATATTTACAAGAGAAGACCATAGATTGTACGAGGCTTTAAAAAGTGATGTAATGTTTCTTAGCATCCAACTATGTGCTTTAAATTTTGGGTGGGTTACCCATCTTTCACAATGTTATGGAATGGGTTCACTTAGCTGGCTTTATTACACAAAATTTAGTTTTTTTTTTTGCCCCTTGTAAAGGTCAGACGATTCATTTTGTTTTAACATCTAAAAATAAAAATACATTTTAGTTTAAATCTCCCTAGCTTTCAAAATACATTTCATTCAGCACATATTTATAAAATTAATACTTTTTTTTGGCTCTACACTCATTTTGTAGCAGCGGGTGAAAACATAGCTCTCTGAATTAAAAAGGTTGCTGACCCCTGGAATATTACTGAAGCAGACGGCAGCTTGTTAAACAAAGCATGATGAAATCTTCTCCACTTTTAAGAATGGTGAAGGTCCTGTGATGCTGTGGACTGAAGATAAAAAGCCCTTTGCTACTTATATGGACTACTTGAAGCATGTTGAGGGAATAACCACATTCCCCCAGACACACTCACACATTCAAACACCAAAATGTGGGCTTAGGTGCCCAAGAGAACATCAACAAGGGTCGACGGAGGAAGCTGGAATCGAACCCAAAACTCTCTCACTACAAGTCTACTCTTCCCACTGCAGGAGTGGACATAAATAAATGTGCTCAACTTAAAGGTTAACTTTTATTTTAATGCTACTGTGATGAAAGATTAATTTATAATGAAACATTTCACACATGTTTATGGACAGGTGATTTGTTGTTAAAAAAAAAAAAAAAAAAAAAAACCAAAATTTTGTTTTAAAATAAAAAAATTTCCATTTTTTTCATAAATTTATAA